ATATATATTTGTATAATTTTTTCTTTTCCTACACTTTTTTAATAATAGCTCATATAGTAAAAAAAAAGATTATACAAAGAAATATAAAAGAAGATCTAAGTTAATCCCATAAAAAAATGAAAACCGTATTTCTAAACTATTCTCACTCACCAGTGACAAATTGAAACTTTTTATCATTGCTTATTAAGTTATGTTTGTCTTTGAGGAGACTATCAAACGATACAGAGGACCTTTCTTTAGACTTTAAAACAAAGAAAAAGTAGATCAAGATTTTGAAGTTAGATTTTTATTTTTTGAATTAGAGGAATCTCTTATTAGGGCTCTTAATTCTTATTATCTCTTTTTTAAAAATTCATTTTCAATCTTGCGAAATGTTTTTCAATTTTTTTTTATTTGATCATACTTTATTTTATTAAAAACTATAAATTTCATTCACTCAATTTATGTATTTTTAAATTAAAATCTTTAATTTAAAATTTATAAAATTATGAACTTTAAAAATAAGGCAGGTTTATGAAGATAAAGATAAAAGAAGAAAAAATAGAAAGAAAAGAATTAGTTCTTTCACAAATAGTCCCGCACCATTTAATTGTTTTTTTTTTTTTTTGACAAAAAGATTAAATAATTTAAAATAAAAAATAATAATTTTTTTAACATTAAGAGTTAAAAATTATTGAAATGAATTAACTTGACTAATGAAATAAATTTTAAGACTTAAAATTAAGAAAATAGTTAATCAAAATGAAATAAAAATATAAATCAAATGATCAAAAATCCAATTAAGACTATCTAAATTCTCAAAAATGACTTTTCTTTTAATAAAATCTTGAACAAATCATTTATGCTGTAAAATCTCAAAAATAGTTATTTTTCTTTTACAAGGGAAAAAAAGAGAAAAAAAGGTAGAAAATTATTTAGAAAATAAAGTTATATTAGTAGAGAGCGGTGATTCTAACATGAGATTTCGTAAAGGACCGGTACATCACATTATTATCAATTTCATGTTTTATTAGTTAGTCAATACAAATATTCATCTCCTTAAGAGTATGAAATAATTGAACACGACATTTCCTATAGAGAAATTCTTAGTGTCAGTGAAGAATCGCAACATAGTATGTCAGACATTTATAGACTCAGAGATAAATTTGATAGTAGAGTAGAAGTCAGAATAATACATCAGATTTTTGATACCAAGTTCTCAGGCCATACACAATCCATGATATAGTGCCATCAACTTAGTATGAAGAATGTTGAAATAACTCATATTAGTCGCAAATGTGTGAATTCAAACACCACCAATGTTTCAAATCAATCCACCAAAACCCGAGACGTCGAGATTATCGAGACTACTATCACAAGTATTCAAAATATATTACTACCTTTGTGTGCATTCCACATAATCATTCTCGTTGATTGAGACAGATTATACATGAAAAATATTTAGCTAACAAATTATCATAGTTCATTGTGATAAGTTTCAAAATACATGAAAATATCACTTCATTCACAAGACACGGTTTGTTCCTAACACACCACAACCAGCAAGCACCCAAAAAAATAGAGTCATTATCGATGTCATGTCTAATGTAATCATATATATTATCCTCTTGGGAGAATAGGAGTCCAAGGAGCCAGTAGATTTCCAAAAACATGTAGCAAATTCAGTCTTTCAGACATCCTGATTGCATCTAAGACAAAGATTCGTCTAAAGTAACCACGATGACACAACATCAATCTCTTAGAAAGTGACTTATGTAAAGTCGTCCAAAAAAAAAAATTCACCTTCTCAAAGGCAGAAATATATCACACCCACTTTCAAGAGTTATTGTCTCTTGTATTCTAAACAAATTCAACCCTATTGAACCAATTATAACCATCCTGGGCAACATAAATACTAACGAAATTGTAATTACACATTAACCAATAAACACTAGAGAGTTCAAACAAACAAAAAACACTTTACACGTTAACCAATAAACACTAGAGAGTTCAAACAAACAAAAAACACTTTCAGACGGTCACAAACAAGTGGAGAAATATGAATATTAGTATATGATAAATTAAAGTTTTAATTCTCATTCAAATAAACATCATTCACTCATATTTTCATATCGTAGATATCCACGTAGAATCATATTGTGGATATCTACATTGAGAACAAACTCCACTAATTTCCCAACTCCAGACTAATTTGAAAACAAAAAAGATGAGTTTTCATCCCCCAATCTAAATTCAAAGCCACGAGCTTTCATAATTGCATTCCAAATAATTGATTCCGAGTTCTTTTTCATATTAAAGTATGTTTCTTCAATGATGTACTTATGCTACAAAACTTGGACCCTGTTTTTTTCTTCTTTTGGTTATAATCTTAAACAAATCATTTATGCCATAAAATCTCAAAAATGACTTTTTTTTTTAGTATAATCTTGAACAAATCATTTATGTAGTAAACAAGCAGAGAATTCAGCATGCCGCCTAGTAATTGAAGATTGACAACATACCCATCTAAAAACAAAGACTAAAGTTTAACAAGAAACACAATTCAGATATTCTTTCTTTTCATTATTCTTCCATCTGTTCATTATTTTCCTGATAAATTATTTTATACAGGAAATCATATAATATAATGGACAACACCCAGTTTCATTGACTATATTACTAGGACACTAAGTAACTTTGAAGCTGAGAATAAGATACAATTCACACACTACATATGATCCAGGTTATTTAAATGGGTTAAAAGTAAAAGCCAAATGAAGAATGAGGGATCATAGAACAAATCTTTTAAGGCTATAAAAGGTCAGCTGTAATACACTTTGAGCTACAAGCTATATCCAAAACAAGATCGCGCTCTCGCTATTGAGTTAGGTTATCTTCCCGAAATGCAGCATATGATCCTAATGACCAGCTTGCACATCCTCTGTCTGTCCACTCTGTTGAGTGTCGTTACCAACGTTTTGATCGTTACCCGGTTGTTCCTCAAGTCTCTGCTGTAGATTATATCTTTATGTTAGTGAGACATCAAGGTAAGCCGTCATATAAATATTTTATGAGTTTTTATCGGTGTAAAAGTTTCTACACTTCCAACAGATCATTATTAATCATATATATATATGACTTTAGAGGTAATTTTATTGATTGATTAAAGTTAAATATTTTTAATGATATCATGATTATGATTGAGATATTTAACATCACCTTGAGAGCTGCGTTCTCGGAAAGTAGCTGCTCATACTCGCTTCTAATGCGACTTATTTCTAATCGGAGAGAAGCATTTTCTTCTTTCAAAACATCAGCACGCTGAGCTAACTCGTCGCACTCAGCCTGAAAACAGCACATGCAAACAGAAATCAGAAATGAGAAAACTATGGGCGACCAACCACTGAATGAAATAAAGGCTACAAGGAACTCTAGATTACCTGTTTGCGCAACCTGGATCTCCGAGCAGATTCCCTATTAGACTGCTTCCGCCTTTGCCTTTTAAGCTCTCTTTCATCCTAAAAGTTAACCAGAAAATATAAATATTTATATAAGAGGTGCAAAAAATCTTTGGTCTGTTGTAACAATTAACCTGTAGCCAAAGTTGTGACTGAACACTATCCCGTGATCCACCAGTAACTATCCCTCCCGCAACTGTAGTAGCCGGAACTTTTCCACGGAGAGCAGGAATGTTGGATGGAGCTGGCGTGCTCCAATAATCCATTCCTATATTTAGGTTTGTTGTGGGGCCAGTAACAGCTCCAGGAGTACCAGTCGCAGTGATAGGCATGATAGACATAGTTTGATTAACCACCGTATGTGGTGTATTAAGTCCCCCATTTTGAGAAGTATGCACTGAACTTCCATTTTGAGATGGTTCACCTGTAATAAAAAAGGTTCACTTCATCCTTTAACACACATATATCATGAGTTTGCAGTGCATATAGAATTAGATAGTAAAACTTAGAAACTATATTGGAACAGCAGAAAGTAACAATGGCAAACCTTCAAAAGAATCCTGCCTGTCTCCAGATTTCAATTGAGAGCCCTATAATCACAGAAAAACAAAAAAGTTGGTTGTAGTATTAAACTTGTTAACAATTGAAATTGTTTTTTACAAGTTTACCATTCAAGAGAGCGAATTAGTTTATGTTTTTATCATAGTATTTATTATCAATTGTACAAAAATATGTAAATGACCATCACATAACTTACATTCTGAGAATTTGCGTCACTTCCTTCACTAGTACCTTCAAAACTTCCACTTTCACCACTGCAAATCCAAGATTTTCTATCAGCACAAATTGCCAGAATTTTGCAAATGGCAAAATAAACTACTCAACAGCCTTGGAAAAATAAATTAATGCCAAACTTAATGTTATATTTCCGGTTATTGAAAGAGCAGTACAGCCACAAGATTGATTAAATACAAAGCAAATCAAGTAACTGTGTACAGGTCCTCCAAAGCACCAAACTTTCTCCCTTGGGCATGTCACACCATATCAAGTTGTATTAGGCACATAATATAGTTCTCAAAAAAAGTATTAGCCAGATCAAAGCATAATACTATTTGATGGCAAAAGAGTGTATGCACCATCTCAGGGCAGAGTCGAATCAACAGACCACAATTTTACCTCTTTGAGTGAACTCCATTAGCAGATGTGCCCGCTGATTTACCATGTTCATTATTTCTCCCCGTGATCATGTTCAAACTACCCAAACTTCCTTTTGATCTTTTGATTGGCAATTTTTCCTTCACCTCAGGAGGCTTACTATCAGTTTCTATGCTGGCAGGAGTATTTCCCTGCATATAAACTTCTGTTACTTTTTTCATACTTGTATAAGAATAAGCCATGTAAACTTCTGTTACTTTTTTCATACTTGTATAAGAATAAGCCATTCACATCAAAGGAATTGGAAGCACGGACAAAGAAGAAAGAAAGAACACAAAAATGCAGAAAGGGAGAAAACTCACTGAAGCCTCAGCAATACCGTTTGGAGTAGGCATCGCATAAGGACTGTATGGATAAGATCCCTGCGTAAATTTTCCGCAGTTAGCAAAGAATAGTTGGATAATTAGTGATTCGATAAAAATATGATAACTTTCGGAAAACGTGATTTATAATGATTACCGGAGGCATGGATGGATGAGCATATATACCACCATGGGGATACATTGCAACATAGGGATGTGGTGGAGTACCATAAGGAGGCATAATGTGCTGCAAATAATAACTTTATCAATAAACCAAATACAACACGGGGAAGTGTTCAAAACAGATATTTTGTAGTGTTGGCACAGTAGATAACAATTTAAAGAACAAATAATGACAAGCAAAGAAGACCAATATATAGCTGAGGACCCAATATATGCATTACCTGGACACCCCACATATAAGGGTGAGCTTGGGGACTTTGTGCCATGAATCCATGTGGAGGCATAGGAGAATATGCCTATCAATGAGGGAGCTGGATGAGTCAAAATCTAATACTGACAACAAGAGAAAATTATGTACCAAAAAACTCTCTTTTAAAACCTGAAAGTTGGCCCAATCTGCAGTAATTGCTCCAGTGCTGGTGGTGGTCGAAGACTGCTCCTGGAAAAACAATAAATGGTTACCATCATCACTTGTCATACGAAACATTCCATTAACTGTCAATGTATATGAAACAAAAGAAATTCAATTATACCTGTGACGTTGGTGGCGGCGTCTTTGACTCCTCTTTTGTGGTTTTATCCATTTCACTGTTGCCCATACTTTTATATCAGTGAGTTACAAAACTAAATACCTAACCATTCTGCACGATACATATAACTTAGGTTACAAGACAATATAAGAGACACCATTCTCTTTCAAAATCAAAACCCAATCAAATTCTACAAATATATAGTTAAGCCTGTTAGACTAAACAGTTCAATCTCATGCTTCAGTGTTGAATTAATCTACAAAGTTACAGTCTTTATATTGTATAAGTCGTATCCATCGACCGCAAGGAACCATTACATTAACAACACCCCACACACCCTAATTTCTCTCCCAATCAATGCAAAAGCATCAAAAAGCCCAATTATAAAGTTGCTTATGTTACATCCAAATCCAACATGGCAAATTCAATTATCAAACCAACAATTATCAAAACCAGAAAATCAAGATGAAACCTAAGACATAGAATGAAATTCATACATCGAAACCAGCTAGCAAAATTGAAATTTTGAATATCTGAATTCGATTCAAAGCTAATAAAGCTGAGAATTTTCAAATTACCGCTCAAAAAGAGATTGGGGGTCCTTCAGAGCTGATGAAGAAGAAAAACAAAACTTGATCTGCAGAGGATGTTGAACGAAAACAAGAGACGCAACAAATATACAATTGTGGTCAAAATTGGCAAGAAAAATGGAAATTGAGCGAAGGGCGAAGGTTAATTGGGGATTTTGTTTGAAAATTTGTATAAAATTTGATCTTGGGTTTATTAAGATTGATTTGATGAAAAAAGGATGGAGAATTGGGGATAGATCAAAAATTAGGGTTTGTTAGGTTACGGTTAATGTTTGTTTGGATTTGGGTGTTGTTCGCGGAGAGGAACTCGTGGGTCGTCGTACGGTGTTTCACTCTCGAGTGAGATTTTCGTTCCTATTTTGCACACAACGTGAAATCCCCTATTTACCCCTCTGTGCCCTCATTTTTATATACTTCATTTCCAAAATTTTTTTATTCATAACCGTATAGCACTAGTTTAAATGCACTTTTATTTTCCTATTGTGATTTTTTTTAACCTTTAAGTCCCTTTAATTTAAAACCATTTTTTTATTTTGTTTGGCACCTCATTTTATAGCATGGTTCTAATATATAATTAAAACTGTCGAATAGGTTGGTTCGGTCAGGTCTACTTCAGTTTGATAGGCTAAAATATTTAAATGAGTTGATCCAGTTTAATTTGATTTCTTAATGAATTACAGAAAATGAGTTTGATCTGTTTTTTAAAGGTATGTGCAATCAAATGGATCAGCTCAACCCGTATTTTAATATTATAATTTAATTTTATAAAAATGGATACAATTGATAAAAGTTACATCACATAACTAGAGAGTCATCATAAACTTAGTTAAGTGATGTTTAAAATATTCATCAAATCAACATCTAAGGATGGCAAAATGGGCTCGGTCCGTTGGACATGCTCGTTTTACCCGCACTTTAGTGTGGGACAGGCCAAGAATTTAGGCCCTCACCCTCTAATGTGACCGTCCCGCCCCGTTCCGTTTTCTTTGCGGGCTTTTGCGGGCATGATTATTAGCATAAAATTTTGCATTTTTAGGCCTAAAAGGTGCAGTACCTGCGGACTTTTCCTGTCCCGCACTCACTTTTTTGCGGGACGAATCTAGGTTTTAGGCCCTCATCCTCAATTATGCCCGCCCCGCCCCGTATTTTTGCGGGCTTTTATGGGACGTGCATGTCTGTTTGCCACCCCTATCAACATATATATATATATATATATATATATATATATATATATATATATATATATATATATATATATATATATATATATATATATATATATATATATATATATATACTACAAAAACATCAATGTAAAAGTACAAAGTAACTTAATATTATCACCTATACTTATCAAATTTTCTCTTCATCTCACAATAATTTCCCTGATCACATCATCTTGAAAATATATTTTCATTCTCTTTAATTTTTTTAATCACTTCAAAACACACTTATGCAATCATATCTTATCTCAATCTTTTTTCTCCAAAATTTACCAAAATCTTTTTTTAATGGGTCAGTCCAAAGTCCGCTTGATCCGGTCCATGAAAAACATAGGCCCGATGGGTTGAGCCAAAAAGATAGGGTCGTATTTTTTTAATGTATTTTGCAGCCCGGCTCACGCTAAATTATTGGGCCGAACCCATTTTGATAGCTCTATATATAACATTATGTATCATGGTTATCTCTGAAAGTGTGCAATATGGACTACCACACAGAGAGCCTTAAATTTGTACGGATTAAATTATAGTCAAAAAGGATTTTATAAAATATTTGATAAGTTAAGTAGTGATTAAATAAAACCTCTATTTATTTCGTCATAGTTAAATTGTGGTTAACCTACATAGGGCCTCTAAAAATTTGAGATGACTCTATTATGTATATGACGTCACATGATAAAATTATGTCACATCATATTTTTATAATAAAAATTATTTTTTTAATAATTTTATTGGTCGGACAGAGGGGCGAGTAATTGCGACCTTGAGAGTTGAGTAATCCATCACATCATTTGTGGTGCAGGTATGTTATCCTAGTCAAGATTACAAGTGATCTTGATCCAAGATCGATTAGACACATCTACGCATTTCTCACAAATAGATCATAAGTGGTTGCAGTTGTTATACTATATAAAGGGGAGACGCACAATTTCTGAGGTACAACTTGAATTTAAATTTCATTCACATCATCTTACTCACATAATGACTTTGATGTTAGAGTGTTAACCTTGTAGATTAACCCTTTTCCATTGCATCGAAAGCTCAAGTTCACTGTTGTAATTCACATTTGTCGATCACCGATAACTACGGTTCCCTCGTCGAACAGTGGCACCATCTATGGGAATCGACATTTAATTCTCGTGTTTTCCATACTTGAACATTCATTTGTCGATTCGTTGAAACAATTTTTTCTTGTTAGACGATGGTGTCTTATCTAGAGAGGGTGAATAGATCACCAAGCCAAAAAATCTAGATAAAATTTCTAGTTTTGAATTTGTTTAGAAAAGAGTGCAAGCTGAAGGTTTTCAAAGTTGTCGTCTATACGAACCACGTTATTGAAAGTTGGATATGCAAATATTAAAATTGATTATGGAATTAATAAAATAATCTGAAATTCATATACTTAAATCAAGTAACAACTTATTTAACGTTTGTAGCAAGTTACTAGCCATATTATTTTCAATGATAACTAGCAAAAGAGCAAACTGAACAATTTGTCGAACACTTGGTGTGCAACAGAATTTTCTTTTGCGTTGAACAAGCTAAACAATTTGTCAAACACTTGGTGTGCAACCAAAATTTTAGAATTTTTCTTTGAGTTGTGTTTATATGAAAAAACACTTATAATCATAGGTGATTATAAGAAAATCAACACACAATTCAAAATAAGAATAGTCCCAAAAAATTCCTATAAGTCGATCGATTACTCAATGCTATTTGAAAAATTAATGTAAGAATATTAAAGCAAGTAAAGCGATAAAAGAAAAGAGACACAAGAATTTTTATTCACAGTTCCCCACTTTCATCCTCGCGTGTGGGTACATCTGCGCCTAATTCCAATGGAATTAGGATAATTCTTACTATGCAAAAAGTTGATACAAGAGGAGTGTTCCAAGAGCAACTCCACAAATCCTAATGTTTGTTGTTGATTCAACCCCTTATCTTCCTTTGATCTTGAGAAAAACCAAGACATAATAGATCCCAATTGACTTATCGATATTGTTACTCATTTGTGTTCTTTATCTCTAAAGCTTTCGTGCACGATCAATTGTACATATTGCAACATAAGACTTAAATTTGATTCATCGTTCTCTCAATACTTCCTTTGTGTTCTTTATCTCGAAAGGATCCTTTGCATTCTTTATCTCCAAAGGCTTTCACTAGACCGTAATCCTCTCTTGAATGTCTTGTACGAAAACCCCAAATCAACCAATGATCTTGGAGGATAAACCCACGGTTTTTTGGATGAAGACCCATACAAATCTCAACCAAATATTGTTGGCTACACAAAAACCTAATTGGACGTTATCAAACCTCGTCTAGATGGAACCCTAACAAAAGATTATTATGATGATTTATTAGTGTGTATGCATAGGTTAGAGGTTGGAGGTTGAAGGTGAAAAGAAATTGCAGGAAATTCTTATGGCATCATCAAGTTGGAATGATGCATGAAATATGTATTTATAGTTATGGAAGTTTTGAGGCAAAAGAGGGAAATTCATAATTAAAAGAAAATAGAAAACTTGACCCATGAAACAGTATGAGTCGGCATGTAACTTGTATGTGTCGGCTCATAGTGTTAATTTTAACAGCATGAGCCTACTTAAAATGGTTTGAGTCGGCCTGACAAGATAGAGGAAATTGCTTGATTAGGACAGTACATGAGCTGGCCAGAAAGGCTGCATGAGTCGGTCTGACCAAGACAGAGGAAAACTGCTTATTTAGGATAATACATGAGCCATCTTGAAAGGTTGCATGAGTCGGCATGTACAGGCATGCGCAGTGTAGAAAATGATTTTTTAAGACTGGGACAATTTTGACTATATTTCAAATGATTCCTAAGACCTATAAATACATAGGGTGTCACACAAACTCAGAGATATTGTCCAATATACATCATATAAAACACATCTAGAGGCAAGTTACACTCACATACTCCCCCTTTTTTATGATGGCAAAACTGCGACGATGGAATTTCGTGTTCATTTGAAGCTCCCCCTAACTATGTGCTTCCAAGCTTCCTTTAGAATATCCCTCTTCCCCTTCGACAACATCAAAAAGAGAACAAACATATCATTAGAAGTATTGTAGTTTTCCATAACAACCAATATATCATACAAAGGCGTTTTTCATAGAAGATCAACAATCACATATCCCCATATATATGTAATAATGCAAAATTGATAAATAATAAACAAACAACATTACAACATGTAACACCTCAATTTTCTTTATTAATTATTTTATTATTTAATTATCA